TCGCTCCCAGCCTGGCCAACCTCTTCATGGCCAGGTGGGAGGAGGATATTATTTATTCCAAAGACTGGGCAGAATTAATATTTTACAAGAGGTATATAGACGATGTTCTCTTATTGTGGCAGGGGGAGGAAACAGCCCTAATCAATTTTTTTTGGGACATTAAATAAAAATAATCTGAATATCCATCTCTCTTATGAATATAGTGTTGACCGAGTTAATTTTTTAGATATCACCATTATTAACAAAGGAGGATATTGTATTACGGAGGCGTACTTCAAACCATCTGACAACCCCATAGAAAACCTTTGGAGGGAGTTGAAAGTCCGTGTTGCCCAGCGACAGCCCCAAAACATCACTTCTCTAGAGGAGATCTGCATGGAGGAATGGGCCAACATACCAGCAACAGTGTGTGCCAACCTTGTGAAGACTTACAGGAAACGTTTGACCTCTGTCATTGCCAACAAAGGATATATAACAAGGTATTGAGATGAACTTTTGATATTGAGCAAATACTTATTTTCCACCATAATTTGCAAATAAATTCTTTCCAAATCAGCCAATGTGATTGTCTGGATTTTTTATCTCATTTTGTCTCTCATAGTTGAGGTCTACCTATGATGCCAATTACAGGCCTCTCTCATCTTTTTAAGTGGGAGAACTTGAACAATTGGTGGCTGACTAAATACTTTTTTGCCCCACTGTATGTGGCAAGCACTCTGGATTTAAAGATTGACAATGTGGCCCGTATGAATAGACACAACATGCTCTCAGGACCACCTACATTAAAAAAGAATATGTTTTGTCCGTTCATTACCCCTTATTCTATCCAACACAAAACCCATACGCCATATATGTGAAGAAAAACTGGGAAGTTATCAGAGTGGATCCCATTCTCTCTAGTGTTTAGGAGCGTACCATCTCTACGCAACACGATTGCTCCCAACATAACTGATCCTCCTTCTCATCCTAGCTTATTCAGTAATCTCAAGGGTTTCTTTCCCAGTAAGAAGTGCCAGATTTGCAAAACATAGCAGGATGTCGAAAAAGAAAATTGAGTCTTTTTTCTCAACCACAACGGGAAAAGACTATAACATATCCACCTTTATTTCTTGCAATACCCGACACGCGGTGTACCTCCTGGAATGCCCATGCCGGAAACAGTACATAGGCTACCAGGAGACTCCGTGACCGCTTCCGCGACCATGTGTACAACATTAAAAGAGGATTCTGCGAACATTCATTGTCAAAACACTATAGGGATTTTCATCATAGAGACCCTTCCTCCCTTAAATTTGTAGGGATAGACATTGCACAACATCACTGGCGCGGCACTAATAAATGTAGACAGGTCTCACGTTTAGAAGCTAAATGGATTTTTGAAATGAAATCCATGACCCCCTTAGGCCATAATGTCGAGGTAGATATTAATTGCTACATCGATAACAGCTGAATCTTATATGAAGTTTTCAAGGATTTTATTGGATGTACATAAAATATTAGTATCATGTCTTAATATATTCTAGTTACATTTATATTCTTATTTATATATACTTTTTTATAAAACATCTGTTTTATATATCTTATTATTATATTATTATTATATATTATATTATATATCTTATTATTGATCTTACACATTTTCCTAAACTCTTCATGCTTTTTTCAGATTTATAAATATTTAATACGTTGTCTAACGGACTATTGCCGCTATTATCATGGGATAATACATTTTGCACCCTAATAATCATATATTTTATCGATACATGATCAGGGGGTCGGACTGACAACTCATGGGGCCCCCCGGGCAATAGGAAATCATGGGGCCCCTATGTCCTCGCCCAAACCACACCCAAAAAAGCCTATGAAAGGTACCAGGAACATCTCATGGGACTCCCTACTGACCTCGGGCCCTCGGGCAGTGCCCGAGTACCCAAATGGTCAGTCCGCCCCTGTACACGATTCTCTGTATACTGTTATCATTTAACATTATGTATTATACACTTATTTTATTATATCTTATCATTTTAATTTTTATATTCATATATATACTCATGTTTAATTTGCTAGTGACTATGGGAAATCCATCATATACCATATAAATCCATCAATATATCATATTACCCATTGTTAATCTTACTTTAGATTTATGCATTGTTATAAAATTATGATCACCAGGAAAATGGCAACCGCATTTCTCGCACATGCGCAGTCATTTTATGCGCACACGTTTTCTAATATACACCATATTTGTATATCGAGACAGAAATGAAACGAGCGCTGGACAAAATACAGAAAGCGACATGCATGAAAGGCAAACACCAAAAGCCTCTAATAATAAATATGAACAGAACATGCAGCGCTGTTGAAAATCAATCATACATGTAGAAAATAATACATTATAAGAAGAGTGATAAGGCGACCCGCTGCTAAAATAATGGCCCATCAAAATGTTCATAAATTGCAATGACATAAATATCTCCAATGAGAGTGTTCTTGTGGTACACAGTGCACAATATCACAATGAAGTGGTGAACAAATTGGTGACTTCCGTGACCATATTCCTCCCCACCTAAATGAGTGTAGATAGCACTAACCAGAAAGCGCAATAGAAATGCGCAATTGAGTATTAACCAACTCCTGGTCATCCCGTCTATTTAAGCTGGATCACTGGGAGGGTCATCAGGCTAGCGTCCGCTGTGGTTAGGATATTCTGCCCAGTATTCCAGTACCTGTCCAGGCTGGAGAAGTAAAAGTGTTAGACCAGACCATTATCCACGGCACCTACCATCTGAGCGACCCACCAGAGGATACTCCCATCACCGGCCATACCTTCACAGGACATTCGGCTACATGAGATCTTTATACGCGCATTAAGATTGCGCTTCCCGGTGAGTGGGCAATCTCTCCATATCTCCATGTCGGGATACTGGAATACACTCGTTTTTGATTGAAGTTATACTTATTACCTTGGACTGTTCACCAATCTGTTTATAGGACTCTATTACGTAGGATTTTATCTTGCCGATTGTATATTACCACCCCCCCAGTTTATTGATTTATTCATCTATTTTTTATAGCGCTGCATGCACTCCCTATTTTATGTTGTATACACAAGAAAGGTTTTGTGGTTCCTTTTTAGTGCAATAGCTGCTTACATGGTTCGCTTGCTAGCTCACACACTTACACACTTCAAAGATGTGAAATGGATCATAAACATGCATTGTTGGTTTTTTTATGCATCACTGCAGATTATATTACCTATTGATTACAATGGGAAGTGTACATAAAAAGCTTGATTGTTGACAATGTACATAAATTAGCATGAAAATGTAATTGAAAAAGGTCACCCATCCCAGTATCTCAGGTTTCTTATAGCAAGTAGAGTTACTGCCAAATGCAGCACAGGTCCTGGGTGCTGTTCCAGGTCCCGACAGATAAAGCCTCTGTTTTAGCAGAGTTGAACTCATATCCAGATAGGCTGCTAAAATTAAATTAGGAAGTTTTGTATGGGGATCTGTAGAGTGTCAGTAGTAAATCATAAGCAAAAAGGGAGAGTTTATATTTCTTATGTTGAGAGGCAATTCTACGTAATTGATATTTGCCCAGATGCTTCTGGGGAACAAATAAACAAATAAACAAAGGATTGACCAATAAAGGAGAAAGTGGACAGCCTTCATGTGTTCTATCTAGAGATGAGCGAATTATTCAAAAAATTCGATTCGACTGATTCGGCGAATTCGTGAAAAATTTCGATTCGAGTCGAATTATATTCGCTGCGAATTTAACTTATTACAAGGGTGTTTTCTAGGCTTCAGAGAGCCTATTATATTAAGTGCATAGAACACTGTACCTTTTAATTTAAATGCCCCCTTGGAGTCTGCTGGGGAAGAGAAATAATACTGTCAGTCAGTAATGACATGCAGATGAGTGCCGTCGATCTTAGAATCACCACGCACACTTCACTCATTTGGGCAGTCACGAGGGGCCAAAACCAGAGTGTGGAGCCACAGTGTGGCGGTGGAGGCAGCAGCAATGGGAGGCCATACAGCACCCTATGACAAAATGGAACCATACACCAGCAGTGTGAGGAGGACCTGAAAGTGGCACATGGCAGAGTGTGGCGATGGAGACAGCAGCAATGGGAAGCCGTGTACAGGGAGCCATGACACACTGTGGACCTCACACACACAGCAGCATGAGGAGGAGGTACAGGGGCCCATGACAGATTATGGGCCTGGCAGCAGCATGAGGAGTTGGTACGGGGGCCCATGGCAGATTGTACGGGCCTGGCTGGCAGCAGCAATGGGAGGCCGTACAGGGACCCATGACACAACTTCTGGACCTGGCAGCAGCATGAGGAGGCGGTACAGGGGCACCATGACAGATTACGGGCACTGGCAGCAGCATGATGAGTCGGTACGGGGGCCCATGACACACACTCTGGACCTGGCAGCAGCATGAGGAGGCGGTACAGGGGCGCATGACAGAATACGAGCCTGGCAGCAGCAACTTGGAAGGAGGACGTTCAGCTTCTGCACCGTCGGTGTGCGTGCTCGCAAACTTTTGTCTCTTGGAAACGGATTCCAAGAAAGACTGCTGACGGAATCCATGAAGAGGAGTAGCAGGAGAAGGAGCATCTGAACGAGCGGAAGATGCCAACAAGCGACAACAGGGGCCCCATGACAGATTACGTGGCCTGGCAGCAGCATGAGGAGTCGGTACGGGGGCCCATGGCAGATTACGGGCCTGGCAGCAGCAATGGGAGGCCCGTAATCTGCCAGCACCCTATGACAAAAAATGGAACCCACCAGCAGTGTGAGGAGACCTGAAAGTGGCACATGGCAGAGTGTGGCGATGGAGACAGCAGCAATGGGAGGCCGAACAGGGACCCATGAGAGACTGTGGACCTGGCAGCAGCATGAGGAGGCGGTACGGGGGCCCATGGCAGATTACGGGCCTGGCAGCAGCTATGGGAGGCCCGTAATCTGCCAGCACCCTATGACAAAAAATGGAACACACCCAGCAGTGTGAGGAGACCTGAAAGTGGCACATGGCAGAGTGTGGCGATGGAGACAGCAGCAATGGGAGGCGGTACAGGGACCCATGAGACACTGTGGACCTGGCAGCAGCATGAGGAGGCGGTACAGGGGCCCATGGCAGATTAAGGCCTGGCAGCAGCAATGGGAGGCCCCGTAATCTGCCAGCACCCTATGACAAAATGGAACACCCTGGGCTGGGGCAGGCAGAACCGCCGTAACTTTATCACGGGTTTTCCCAGGCCACCGAATGGCGATGCTGCATATGCTGACGCAACGCTGTAGTCCCAAACATTGGGGCCCCCTGGCCACGCTTGACTTTCTGGCCACATAGTCCGACATACGGCTACGTTTACTTCCTCGGGCGGCTTGACGAAAAATTGACAACACAACCGCCGAGTAGGAAACTTTGCCCCTGCTACTCCTCACTGTGCTGACTGCTACTTTCCTCCGTGCACACCGGCACCTACTGGCCGTGGTGGTAGGCTGCAGTGGAGCCTGGTGCTCTACTCCGTGGCCGTTTGCCTCCACTGACACTGCTGCGACCCTGCTGCCTTGCAGAGTGTGGCTGGCAGCAGCAAATGGGAGGCCGTACAGGGACCCATGAGAGACTCTGGACCTGGCAGCAGCATGAGGAGGCGGTACAGGGGCCCATGGCAGATTAGGGGGCCCTGGCAGCAGCTATGGGAGGCCCGTAATCTGCCAGCACCCTATGACAAAAAATGGAACACACCAGCAGTGTGAAGAGACCTGAAAGTGGCACATGGCATGAGACACTGTGGACCTGGCAGCAGCATGAGGAGGCGGTACAGGGGCCCATGGCAGATTAGGGGCCTGGCAGCAGCTATGGGAGGCCCGTAATCTGCCAGCACCCTATGACAAAAAATGGAAAAGGGCACACCAGCAGTGTGAGGAGACCTGAAAGTGGCACATGGCATGAGGACACTGTGGACCTGGCAGCAGCATGAGGAGGCGGTACAGGGGCCCATGGCCAGATTAGGGGCCTGGCAGCAGCTTAATGGGAGGCCCGTAATCTGCCAGCACCCTATGACAAAAAATGGAACACACCAGCAGTGTGAGGAGACCTGAAAGTGGCACATGGCATGAGACACTGTGGACCTGGGCAGCAGCATGAGGAGGCGGTACAGGGGCCCATGGCAGATTAGAGGCCTGGCTGGCAGCAGCAATGGGAGGCCCGTAATCTGCCAGCACCCTAATGACAAAAAATGGAACACACCAGCAGTGTGTGAGGAGACCTGAAAGTATGGCACATGGCAGAGTGTGGCGATGGAGACAGCAGCAATGGGAGGCCGTACAGGGACCCATGAGAGACTCTGGACCTGGCAGCAGCAAGAGAAGGCGGTACAGGGGGGGGCCCATGGCAGATAAGGGGCCTGGCAGCAGCTATGGGAGGCCCGTAATCTGCCAGCACCCCTATGACAAAAAATGGAACACACCAGCAGTGTGTGAGGAAGACCTGAAAGTGGCACATGGCAGAGTGTGGCGATGGAGACAGCAGCAATGGGAGCCACCGTACAGGGACCCATGAGAGACTCTGGACCTGGCAGCAGCATGAGGAGGCGGTACAAGGGGCCCATGGCAGATTAGGGGCCTGGCAGCAGCTATGGGGAGGCCCGTAATCTGCCAGCACCCTATGACAAAAAATGGAACACACCAGCAGTGTGAGGAGACCTGAAAGTGGCACATGGCATGAGACACTGTGGACCTGGCAGCAGCATGAGGAGGCGGTACAGGGGCCCCATGGCAGATTAGGGGCCTGGCAGCAGCAATGGGAGGTCCGTAATCTGCCAGCACCCTATGACAAAAAATGGAACACACCAGCAGTGTGTGAGGAGACCTGAAAGTGGCACAATGCAAGAGTGTGGCGATGGAGACAGCAGCAATGGGAGCCCGTACAGGGACCCCATGAGTGACTCTGGACCTGGCAGCACATGAGGAGGCGGTACAGGGGCCCATGGCAGATTAGTGGCCTGGCAGCAGCTATGGGAGGCCCGTAATCTGCCAGCACCCCTATGACAAGAAATGGAACACACCAGCAGTGTGAGGAGACCTGAAAGGCGTGGCACATGGCATGAGACACTGTGGACCTGGCAGCAGCATGAGGAGGCGGTACAGGGGCCCATGGCAGATTAGGGGCCTGGCAGCAGCAATGGGAGGCCCGTAATCTGCCAGCACCCTATGACAAAAAATGGAACACACACCAGCAGTGTGAGGAGACCTGAAAGTGGCACATGTTTTTGGGGCATGATTCATGGCGGATTTAGTCAGTTGTGTCAGGAACTGGTGGTTTGAAATCCAGACTAATCCACCGCCTGATTCATTTTCACAAACGTGAGTCTCTCCACACTTTGGGTGGACAGTCGTGTCCTCCGCGGAGTTACAATACTCTCCTGCCCGCACTAAAACACGCGCTCCGATGCCACGCTACTGGCCGGGCATGGACAGCCTTTCAAGGGCAAATTCAGCTAGTTGGGGCCAAAGGTCAAGTTTCGTTGCCCAGTAGTCACAAGAAAGGGGATTGTCTACCTCGGTTGGCAGGGTGCTGTCCAAGTGTAGGCCCAAGCCTGTTGTTTGAGGTCCCTGCTCCAGGTCCACCTGATGCTGCTGCTGCTGCGGCTGGTTAGTAGTTTCCTCACTGCGCTGGTGAAGAAAAGCTACTCATCATCGACTGCAGACTGAGGCAGCCGCTGCTGGTGGAGCTGCCACTGCTCCTACCACCCCACCCCTCCCCTGCTGCCATGGCAGCGGAACGCGAGCGCACAGGGCCCACAGTGTCTGAGGATGGACGTTGGCGCACAAAGGCAGAGACCAACTGACTACATAGGTGTTTTTATAGTACGTTATTTTGGCCTCCCTCTCAGCAGGTGTGAAAAAGGCCACCATTTTTGAACGGTAGCGAGGGTCCAACAAGGTGGACAGCCAAAAGTCATCCCTCTGTCTGATGGTTATTATTCGGCTGTCGCTACGCAAGCAACCGAGCATGCTATGGGCCATTTGTGCCAAGGAATGCGAGGGACTCCCTGCCTCCATCTCCACAGCATACTGCCACGGTGCGTCCTGGGTCCTTCTGTCTCCTCCTCCTCCTCCTCTACCAGATGCTCCTGCTCCTCCACTCCTGTCCGCTGAGTGGAAAAACCACCCATTTCACTCAATAATTCCTGAGCACCAATGTCCCTCCTCTACCTCCTCCTCTTCTTCCTGTCCTGCCCCCCACAGGGGTCATGTGGCGTTGAGATCTGTGCGCCACGTCTACCGCACCCTGACCAGCCATTGTTAACAGCATTTGTTCCAGGACGTGCAACAGAGGAATGACGTCGTTCATCCTATAGTCCTGCCGACTCACGAATAGCGTGGCCTCCTCAAAGGGCCTGAGCAAGCGGCAGGTGTCACGCATGAGCTGCCAATGGCTGACATCTAAGTTACACAGGGGAGTACCATTTATCCGCTTGTAACATCAGGAAATCTGTGATGGCCTTTTGCTGTTCGTAAAGGCGGTCTAACATATGTAGGGTTGAATTCCACCTTGTTGCAACGTCGCAGATCAGGCGATGTTGTGGAATTCCGTTCTGCCGCTGCAGCTCAAGGAGGGGTGCTTTGCGGTGTAGGAATGGCTGAAATGCATGCAAAGTTTACGTGACATTTTAAGGATGTCTTGCAGTGGGATGGTGGATTTTAGGAACCGCTTGACAACCAGATTGAACACGTGAGCCATGCATGGCGCATGGCACAACCTTCCTTGACGCAGAGCAGACACCATGTTCTTTCCGTTGTCGGTCAACATGGTTCCGATTTTCAGTTTGCGCGGAGACAGCCATCTGTCGATTTCTCTGTTCATTACACTGAGAAGTTCCTCCCCTGTGTGACTACGTTCGCCAAGGCATACCAGGTGCAGCACAGCGTGACACCGTTGCGCCCTGCACATGTGATATGCCGGTCGGGTAATGGGACTTGGCACGGGGGTGGCGGCTGAGGACACGGCGGAAGAAGAGGTGGTAGAGGCGGACATCTTTGCTGGACCAAGGACGTGCAAACGTGGAGGCAAAAGCGGCGTGACCTGTCCAAGTCGCTGGTGCGGCTGTGCCGGCACCACGTTCACCCAGTGGGCCGTAAATGACATGTACTGTCCCTGACCGTAGTTACAGCTCCACACGTCGGCGCTGCCGTGCACTTTGGCAGAGACCGACATGCTCAAAGAGACTGGCCCACCACCATCTCTTCTACATGTGAATGCAGGGCTGGCACTGCTTTTTGGCGAAGAAATGCCAGCTTGGCACTCTCCACCGCGGCGCGGCACAAGCCATCATTTCTCGGAAAGGTGCTGAGTCCACCACTTGGAAAGGGAGGGACTGCAGCACCAGCAACTTGGACAGGAGGACGTTCAGCTTCTGCACCGTCGGGTGCGTGCTCGCAAACTGTTGTCTCTTGGAAACGGATTCCAAGAAAGACTGCTGACGGAATCCGTGAAGAGGAGTAGCAGGAGAAGGAGCATCTGAACGAGCGGAAGATGCCAACGAGCGACAACTCCCCTCAGCAGAGGTGTTGGAGCCTTGACTGGCTGATAGAGGGCGATTGAACGTCGGGTGACGGAGCAAGTAACGGAGCGGGTGATGGAGCGGGGGCTGGGGCAGGCAGAACCGCCGTATCTTTATCACGGTTTTTCCCAGGCCACCGAATGGCGACGCTGCATATGCTGACGCAACGCTGTAGTCCCAACATGGGCCCCCTGGCCACGCTTGACTTTCTGGCCACATAGTCGACATACGGCTACGTTTACTTCCTCGGGCGGCTTGGCGAAAAATTGCCACACCGCCGAGTAGGAAACTTTGCCCCCGCTACTCCTCACTGGCTGACTGCTACTTCCTCCGTGCACACCGGCACCACTACTGGCCGTGGTGGTAGGCTGCAGTGGAGCTGGTGCTCTACTCCTTGGCCGTTTGCCTCCACTGACACTGCTGCGACCCTGCTGCCTCCTGGGCAACCCACCGACTGTTTTGCTCGCTGGCAAGCTGGCACCCTCTTCTCCTGATGATGCGGAAGCAATAGCCTGATGACGACGAGGCTGCCAAGTGCGATCAGCCTCATCATCATCAATTAGGGTCTCCGCCTCACTACTAGCCCCCTCGGCTGCGTGTGGGTCAGGAGACAGACCTGTCTCTAGACCGGCTACCGAGCCACTCTCCTCGCCACTACTTCTTCGCCTGGCTGCTGAAGAGGCGGATGTCTCCCCCCGTTCCTGACCGCCCTCTGTTTAGCTCTTCCTCACTGTACAGTGGGGCTCAGCCCACAGCATGCGATACTTCGCTTGGTGAGGGAACACCAAAGGACAGGGGCAGGTAGAGGACACGTGATTTCAGTGGGCTTGCTCCCGGGCCATGCCAACTAACGGTTGTGTCTGACGTACCCACCGACCGTTGGCTGTAGGTGTCAGAGGTGACCTGGGAAGAGGAAGACGACCGAGCCAACCAATCGATGACGGCAGGGTTGTCGGTGGAGACACGACCGCTGGATGACACCGGGAGCACTGGCCTCTGGCTGCGACTAGTGCTGCCTCGACCCCTTCCTCTGCTGCCACGTCTGCTCGCTCCTGAAACATTGCCTCCTCTGCCACTCCTCTGCGTGTTGTCTGACATACTCTTTAATTCAACGATTCTGTGTCCCTGAGTAACAATTCTGTGTCCCTGAGTAACGATTCTGTGTCCCCTGAGTAACAATTCTGTGTCCCTGAGTAACGATTCTGTGTCCCTGAGTAACGATTCTGTGTCCCTCAGTAACGATTCTGTGTCCCTGAGTAACAATTCTGTGTCCCTGAGTAACAATTCTGTGTGTGTCCCTGAGTAACAATTCTGTGTCCCTGAGTAACAATTCTGTGTCCCTCAGTAACATTCTGTGTCCCTGAGTAACGATTCTGTGTCCCTGAGTAACGATTCTGTGTCCCTGAGTAACGATTCTGTGTCCCTGAGTAACGATTCTGTGTCCCTCAGTAACGATTCTGTGTCCCTCAGTAACGAATTCTGTGTCCCTGAGTAACAATTCTGTGTCCCTGAGTAACAATTCTGTGTCCCTGAGTAACAATTCTGTGTCCCTCAGTAACAATTCTGTGTCCCTCAGTAACAATTCTGTGTCCCTGAGTAACAATTCTGTGTCCCTGAGTAACAATTCTGTGTCTGTCCCTGAGTAACAATTCTGTGTCCCCTGAGTAACAATTCTGTGTCCCTGAGTAACGATTCTGTGTCCCTGAGTAACAATTCTGTGTCCCTGAGTAACAATTCTGTGTCCTGTCCCTGAGTAACATTCTGTGTCCCTGAGTAACAATTCTGTGTCCCTGAGTAACAATTCTGTGTCCCCTGAGTAACAATTCTGTGTCCCTGAGTAACGATTCTGTGTCCCTGAGTAACAATTCTGTGTCCCTGAGTAACAATTCTGTGTCCCTCAAGTAACAATTCTGTGTCCCCTGAGTAACAATTCTGTGTCTGTCCCTGAGTAACGATTCTGTGTCCCTGAGTAACAATTCTGTGTCCCTGAGTAACGATTCTGTGTCCCTAAGTAACGATACTG